GGAGCACAGGCTCTAGGTGTGCGGGCTTCAGTAGTTGTGGCTCGTGGGCTCTAGAGCGCAGGCTCAGTAGTTGTGGCGCACGGGCTTAGTTGCTCCGCAGCATGTGGGACCTTCCCGGACCAGGGCTCGAACCCGTGTCCCCTGCATTGGCAGGCGGATTCTTAGCCACTGCACCAGCAGGGAAGCCCTCTTCTTGTAGTGTCTTTGTCTGGCTTTGGTATCAGGGTAATGCTGGCCTCTTGGAATGAACTTGGAATTGTTTCTCCTCCTCAATCTTTTGGAAGAGTTTCAGGAGAATTGGTATAAATTCTTCTTTAAATATTTGGTAGAATTCACCAGTGGAAACCATCTGGTCCTGACTTTTCTTTGTCGGGAGGATTGATTACTGATTCATTCTCCTTTCTTGTCATTGGTCTCTTCAGATTTTCCATTTTTTTTCACAATTCAGTCTTGGCAGGTTGTGTGTTTTTAGGAATTTATTCATTTCTTTAGGTTATTCAATTTGTTGGCATACAATTCTTCCAGCTTCTTTTAAGGATACTTGTGATAGCATTTAGGGCCCAGCAGGATAATCTCCTTAACTTAACCACATCTGCAAAGACTCTTTCTCCATATAAGGTAACTGTTAGGGGCTAAATTGCATCCCCCCTAAAACTGTACGTCGTACGTCGAAGTCCCAGCCCCCAACGCTTCAGAATGTCACTGTATTTGGAGATTGAATCTTTAAAGAGGCAATTAGGTTAAAACGAGGTCATCAGAATGGGCCCTAACCCACTCCCACTACGACTGGCGTCCTTATAAGAAGAGAGTAAGAGGCTTATATGCACAGAGGAAAGACCACGTGAGGACACAGGGAGAACCAGCCACCTACATGCCAAGGAGAGAGCCCTCAGGAGAGACCAACCCTGTGGACACCTTGATCTTGGGCTTCCAGCCTCCAGAACTGTGAGAAAATAAATTTCTGCCACCCAGCCTGTGGCACTTTGCTATGACAGCCTGAGCAGACTAATAACAGTAATATTTACAAGGTTTCAGGGATTAGGACCTGGATCTCTTTGAAGCTATTATCAGCCTAGCACATTTGCTTGCCATTACCATCTTTCTACCAGAGTGTATAACTAATGAAAGCAGGGAGTTTGCACTTTTTTATTTTTTTGCGGTACGCGGGCCTCTCACCATTGTGGCCTCTCCCGTTGCGGAGCACGGGCTCCGGACGCGCAGGCTCAGCGGCCACGGCTCACGGGCCCAGCCGCTCCGCGGCATGTGGGATCTTCCCGGACCGGGGCACGAACCCGTGTCCCCTGCATCGGCAGGTGGACTCTCAACCACTGTGCCACCAGGGAAGCCCTCAACTATTTTGATCTCAAAACAACGTCCATCCTTAGGGAGTTGCATTCTGGTGGGGAAAGTCAGACAATAAACAAAGACGCAAAGTATACTGCGCTATGTGATAACATGATGGGTACTGGTGATGAGCGCTCTGGAGAAAGAGAAGGCAGGGCCAAGTCATTGGTCTCCCAAGTTGGGGAGGAAGGTATAGTTTGCAATTTTATTTAATTTTTATTATTATTTTTGGCTGCACCGCATGGCTTGCAACATCCTAATTCCCTGACCAGGGATTGAACCCGAGTCCTTTGCAGTGAAAGCTCGGAATCCTAACCGCTGGACCTCCAGGGAACCCCCTATAGTTTGCAGTTTTAGAAAGGGGGTCAGGGGAGGACTTTCTGAGAAGGTGACATTTGAATCAAGACCTGAAAGAGGTGAGGATGCCAAGCACGTTGATAACGAAGGGAAGAGCTTTCTGGGCAGGAGAGACAGCAGATGTGGAGGCTGCAGAGGGGTGGCCTGCTGCCTGCAGGGAAGGGAAGAGGGCAGTGTAACCACACGGCCTGGCAGGGGGCCGAGTAGCAGGGTGCTGGTCAAACAGCTGGTCAGAACAGCTGGGCCAACTCAGGTAGGGGCTCCTTGAAAGACCTCTGGCTTGGGCCCCGAATGAGACGGGAGCCACAGCAGGATTTTGAGCAGATGTGTGACCTGAGCTGACTTATGTTTTAAAAGGATTGTTTTGGCTGTTGTGTGGAGAGAAGGCTGAAGGGGAGCCAGGGCAGAATCAGGGAGCCGAGTCTGGAAGCTGTGTCAGTCACCTGGGCAAGAGCTGCTGGTGGACCAGGGCCTGGGGTTGGGAGGAGTGGTTGGGCTCTGGTTATCTTCTGAAGGCAGCGTCCCAGGATTTGCTGGTGAATCTGGTGTGGGCAGTGGGAAGAGAAGAGGGCTCCAAATCTGCTGGCCTGAACCACTGGAGCTGCTGTTTACTGAGACGGGGAAGGTGGGGAAGAGAGCAGATTTTGGTGGGGGTGGGCGGACCCATGCTACGCAGGATTATGAGACTTGCAGGTGGAGATGTTAAGAACTGGCCTTGAACGTGCAAGTCCAGAGTTCAGGGGAGAGGTCTGCACTGGATGTGTCAGTTTGGGAACTGCCAGTGCATACGTGGTATTTAAAGCCATGAATTATGAGAAATAGGAGCAGGGAGGCGCCAGGGCTGAACCCTGGGGCTGGCCAACTTTCGGAGGCTGGAGAGCTGCAGGGGGATGAGCAAGGGATCTTTCGCTTTGTTTTGTTTTTTGATTTCTTTTCTATTTTCAGGACTTTTCCCCATAGACCTGCATCATCCAATACTGTGGCTATTTACATTTAAAATTTAACTTAAAAAACAAAATTAAAAATTCAATTCCTGGGCCTCCCTGGTGGCGCAGTGGTTGAGAGTCCGCCTGCCGATGCAGGGGACACGGGTTCGTGCCCCGGTCCGGGAAGATCCCACATGCCGCGGAGCGGCTGGGCCCGTGAGCCGTGGCCGCTGAGCCTGCGCGTCCGGAGCCTGTGCTCCGCAACGGGAGAGGCCACAACAGTGAGAGGTCCGCGTACCGGAAAAAAAAAAAAAAATTCAATTCCTCAGTCTCACTAGTCATATTTTAAGAGCTCAAGAGCCCATGTAGCTAGTGGTTATACACTGGACACAGCAGATAGAGAACATTTCCGTCATCACAGAAAGTTCTGTGGACGGTGCTGCTATAGACCAACTCACACTGACATGTAGGAAAGATACGTACACACAAATGTCCAGGACAGCATTGGTCATAATAGCAAAGTGATTAAATAAATACAACAGATATAGTTACTGGTATGTTAACTCCATGAGCAAAGGGATTTTTGCCCATTTTGTTTACTACTGTATATTCAGCTTCTAAAACAGTACCTAGTGCATGGTACGTAACTCCATAAGTATTTGTTAAGTGAATACACAGCTGATAAGGAATGATCTTTGAAACATAGTTTTGATTAAAATAACACCAAGAGGCTGAGTAATGCAGCTAATATGTGTATATGCTTGTGTATGATGAATAGATGTCTCTGGAAGGGAGGGTGACCAACTATCCCAATTTGCCTGGGGCTGAGGGGTTTCCCAGGATGAGCAAGGGATCTTTTTGCTGAACAAGTGAACGAATGAATGACTCTGGTTTGCCACTACTCTTGGGCAGGCTGTCACTCCTCACTGTCACAGCAGCCCCCCACCCCGTGGTCTCCTTTAACCTACCCCCTACCCGCTTCTGATCCATCCTTCGCCTTTCCTCGGCTCTGCTCCCCCCCACCAGGCACTCAACCTTCACAAGGCTGCCCTTCCTGCTTGAAAGGCCTGACCCTCCCTACTCTCTGCTCTATTCTCTGCCTGGTAGATTGCTTCCTGTGCTCTGCTGTCCTCTGGGAAGCTGTCCCTGAGCCTCGCCCCACCCCCTTGCTCTTTCCACAGGGTTCTTGTGCGCAGGTGCACCGATACCCATACTGCTGTCTGCTGCTGCCTGCACGGCAGGCTCCACCCGCACTCCCAACAAACAGCTCCCTCGCCATCCTTCTGGCCTCCACGTGTGCCCACTGGCCATGGGGTTCGCTCTGATGCACACATGAGGCCATGTGGGCCCTGGAAGTGGACTTGGTGGTCTGGGGAGGAAATTCCAGAATCTGGTACCCAAGAGTGTGCTCTAGAAGGGAGTTGTGGGCTCTAGAAGGGACTTGTGGGCTCCAGGGGGGCACATCCCCATACTCTGTGGATTTGTAGCCCTGAGGGGAGGGGGATGACCCTGGGGAACTGGTGCATCCAAGGGTAGTGCTGAGTCTCCTGTTGCCACCTGCAGAGTGTCATTTGCTTTGTTTTGTAAAGAAGTGAAGCGGTGCCCTAGTGGCCATGTGTGACAGTGAGTCTTCCTTAAAGGGGACGTTTAGAGGGAAACACCCATCTGTTTTTCTTAGGTCGGGCCATTTCTTTTCTCTCTGCAAGGCTGTTCACCAAGGCCAAGGGTTTGGTCTGGACAGAAGGGTCATTTTTGTTTCCTCCATCTATCCAGCTGTACTCTCAGCATCTAGAGGCCAAGGATTTGGGCCTAAGGGGTGAGGGCTGGGGAAGGAGTGTCTGGGTGGGTGAACCCACATCCTCAGAGGAATGAGACCCACTCTGGGTGGACGTGTGTAGGGCTGGCCGCTCTGCTTCCCCTACAAAGGGATTATCATTATTAAAGGACAGGCTGAACTAGGAGAAGGATCAATTCACCAGAAGCCAATGGCAGGCGATTGGCAGCCCCCTAAATACATTTTGAACAGGTTCCCCAAGGCCGAGCCCTGTTCCCTACCCGGACCAGGAGCTGAAGGCAGATGAGGGATTACAAAGGAGGCCAAGACATAGTTTCCTTTAAAAGGTTTTCATTTATTAGTCTTTTCTGAAGCAGTTAATTCTCTTTTCTTATTTAAAAAAAAAAATGTGTGTTTCACTCAGTTATACCAAAGTGATTAAAATGAACCTTCTACTGGGGTTGTAGCTCCCCAGATCAGAAAAAAAAAAAAGTTTTTTTTTTCCCCATAAACCACAAAAATAAAACCAAAGGAGAACATCAACAATCACAAATAATCCCCAAACATCCAGGACAAAAAATAAAATATTTATTGATCTATCACAGCGAGACACAAAGAGATGGGCGGGGCAGGGGGGGATATGCTCTGAAGCACACTGGCTCCGGTGGGGGGACTGGGGATACAGTACTGCGTGGGGGGAGACCCAGTTTGGGAGGGAGATTC